AGAATAATTGAAAATCTTCGGTCCAATTTTAAGTGATTTTATATTTTCCTAAAATCAATTTTTTAATTTATCAAACATGATCCATAGAAATATAAGTAATTTTGACAATGAAAAAAGTGAGCATGTCAAAATCACTCCAAACACACTCGAAATGAAACATAAATTGTATATGGACTAAACTGAGGATTTAATCAATAAATTATTTAAAATATTTTAATGATTCATTCATAAATCTATTGAAAAAATAAAGCTTATATATTTTTTCCATCATGGTTTTTGCTCATTTTCTAACCATCCATAGGTTTTTCTCCAAATCTCTTAATTTGATCTCTAACACGGAAACTTTTAAACAGAGTTGACTCTGATATTTTCAAATTGCTATTTCTAATTTCAAAAAGGAAAATGGCAATAGAATAAGAAAAAAGGATAATATTTTTTTTTCTTGAGAAAAAATGATAGTTTTGATATTCTATAATTAGTTCTACTAGTAATATCATGGGTAGAACAGATTTACGGTATATCCATCCTCTTAAAAAAATAATAAAAATAAAAAACAAAATAAAAAATTGAGTGCGTAATTATTTTATAAAATAGTTGCAAATATATATAATTACAAAATATCACATTTTTTAAAATTGTAAATATAACATTAAAAATAGCTGTTAATCATTAATTAATTTGGATAATGTAACAAATGTATTTTAATTTTATTTAACGTGATAATGGTTGATTTACATAACCGATAATTAATTATAACTAATAATCATAGTAATTGACCTTTTTTTTCAATATTTGTAATTATGAGAGAGACCTTAATTGGCATGGAAAATATGTTACATTCATACCGTACAAATAAGATGATTAACAAATTGTGAAATATAATTACAAAAGTCTAAGTTCAAATATTCTCTCCATTTTTACAACTTTTCTTTTCTTTCAAATCTCTTTCAAATCTCTTACGATTGAGCCATCAAAAAGAGTAAGCGTACTTCATTGATATAATATATCAATGAAGTTTTTCTTAGCCAATATTTACATGGTCTCGAGAATTATTCTTATTTGTATATGATGTCGGTTTATTCATATACTCCTCCCATATTTGAGTGTCACAATCAATAAGATTTCGAATGTCTGGGCATGGACCCGACAAATAAATATTTAAATTATAATTATTTTAGACTAAATTCAATTTTCTCATTTTCTTTTGTCGGCTATCAAGCAGAATTAGCAGCAGCAGCAGCCCACGCAAATGGGAGAAGTAACATTTTACAAAATAAAACACAAATAAATAATAATAATAATAATAATAATAATAATAAAGCATTTATTTCAAGGACTTCAATTGCAAAGTCGTTGGAATTAGTTAATTTGACTCTTTAATTTTTTTTCTCCTTCCTAAAATGTTAATTTCCATATGATTTTGAAATAACATTTATATTTATGAAAATGTTGTCTTCAATCTCTCTCTTTTTTTCTATTTGTTAAATCTTCATTTAAAGTTTTGCTAATACAATATATTTTAAAAATTTTCATTATTTCTGTTTTTTTGTTTTTTTTTTTAGTGTTTCTATGGTTGAATAGAAAGAGAGAGAAATGTGTCAAGAGAGTGTTTGGAAAAAGTGTGTAAAAAGAATATTGCAAGAGAAATGATATTATATAACATAACTAAAAGAAGTGTAACAGCAATGGCAAGAAAAGTAGATGGAAAAGTTAGTTTGGTTATTTTCTTGGACATTATTTCTTTTAAACTTATTATTATTATTGTAAATTATAAGTTCCTTTCGTAAACTAAGCATCAAATTGTACAATTAATATGATACAGCATTTTTATCATTTTCCTTTCGTTTCATAGTTTTCCTTAAATTTATTAAAAATCTCATATGTGACCACTATTCATTCACGGCCAAGAATGAGAAAAATGATTCAAAATATATATATATATATATATATATATATATATATATATATATATATATTTAAAAAAAAATCAGACCTTGAATAAACATTCTTTTCTTTTTTTTTTTGGAGAAAAAAAACTTGAATAAACTATATTATATACAATGTCATGAGAAATTGTATATAAATAATGTGAATGGAGTTTAATTAATGTCAATCCTTGTGCCCTTCTCTCCTATTGAGAATTTCAATATACACACAGTATATAAGTAATTATATGTGGGCAAACTAATATCTGTAGTCTTTTCAAGCCTTTTACCGTACCATACCCACCTATTATTTTACAAAATTTAAGAAGAAAGAGAATAATTTCTAGAAGAGTGTATAAAATGTTCATTAATCTTTTTAGTAATTTGACTAAAAATTAGGGTGTTTAAACAATTTTTCATGTATATAATTATCATTCATAGAAATATAATGGGCTAGATCGAAGTAGAGCTAGACAAATCTGTTGGGATTATGGAGGATGTTGTTGTCTTATATTACAATATTGTTTTCCTATAAGAAATAAGATATTTAACTCTTAGGTTAAGGTTTCATTTGTACAGAATCCAAATAAAAGGGATTTGAGTGGTTGTGGGCAGTGTTGAAAAGGATTCTGTATCTAGTGGGTTTAGTGAGTGTTTTTCATTCTAAGTATAGTGTGTTATAATACTTAGAAGCAATTATTAGTGAATTACCCACATTTGAGTGGAAGACTGGACGTAGTCCTTAGGTGAACCAGTATAATTTGCTATGTCATTATTCCTGTGCTTTTACAGTTTTCTTCCTATTTTCATATATTTTGGTTGTGTTTGGATATTTCTGTGGAAGAGGAAATTATTCAGGGTCTTCAATTTCCCAACAAAATCTTCACTTTCACGTATCATTGAACTCAAAAAATAATATATAATAAATAATAATAATATTTAACCAAAATTAAGATATAACACCCTTGTCTTATAATTAAGTTGAAAAATGTTCTGAGACTATGTTTCATAGTATTAGGATATTGTTTTCGGGTCTATTATAGATAACTTTACACAAACAATTTAGACCTTAAATGCCATTTTGTAAACAATGATAAAAATTTTAAAATATTTTTAAAAGGTACGAACTAATAAGTTTATAAACTTAACTTTTAAAAACAGAAAAAATAAAATACAATATGATTATCAAATATAATAGGTCTAATTTATTCTAATTTTACAATATAATTAAATCAAATAGGTTATAAGAATAATGTCTCATAATAACATATGTCAACTAACATCAACTAATTAATTAGGGATCTTAACTCCAAACTTGACTAAGACAGGAAAAAAGAAACCAAAGATTCAAAATGAATATCAATATTTTATTATGTAGTAGTACAAATATTAATTAATTTGTATTATTTTTTATCTGAAAAATGTACTTTAGATGATTTATGCATGGAAAATGAATCAATAGGACAATTTTAAACTTGCTTAAATCTAAATTAGGGTGTGGAACGAAGAAGTGTTAGGTTCAAATCCTCCTTTAATTCATTATTCAAAGTCAACATATATTTAAATGCATTTTTCCAATATAATTTTTAAATTTTCTAATAAATGTGAAGAAAAACAATTATTCAACTATTCAATATAACTTCCATATATATTGAATATTTTGAAAGGTTTTTACAAAGAATAATTTTTTTTTTTTTTGGGACAAAGTTGCAAGTGGATGTAGAAAAATCTTAAATTAATTAAATGGTTTTTTTTTTTTTTAACATTCAATTCAAACAAGAAAGTGAGAGATGTTAAACTCTCTAACCTATTAAAAAGGGAACTGCATATAGCACAAATTTGATTGTATTTTCAAAGTGTCCCAAAACTTTAAAGGAAACAAAAAAACATGTAGCATAAATGTGACTTTTCTTGTGTTTTATATTATATTTGAGTTAGATATATGAATTATGTTATTTTTGTATAATTTCATACATTTTTATTTTAAAAAATATTTATTTATTTTATGCTACTAAAAAATACATATACCTTAAAAAATAGTTACTAAAACACTCTCAAGATTGTTTAAAAGTCCCTAACTTTAAAAAATGTCTAGTGTAAATCCTCCGGCGTTAAAAGAATATATTGAAATTTTAGGGAATATTGTAAGAAATAACAAAGCTTTTAACAAAAAGATTTCAAACTTTGTTAGCACTAAATACAATTAGCTGTTTGATTTGGAGGACCAAACGTAAATGTTTAATTATAATGATATCCTCCCAAAGCAAAGCACTAGATCTTTTAGTCTCCGAAAAAATGCGGTTGTTGCATTGCAACCATAAGTTCCACAGAAGAGATCCATTGACTTACCCCAAAAGATATCCCGTTGGCATTTGAGAGGCTTTGATAGAATCTCAATTATAAAAGTGTCTTCGAAAAAGTGGAATCCTTAACTTTTCGAGGAATCCGCCCTTTCGATTATTAGTCGGGGTTGTGCTAGACTGATTTTTCTCAATCTTTTCGACCCGTAGGAGCAAGTCAGAAAGATTGAGAAATAGAACCATCTGATTTGATACATCTAGGAAAAGAAGTTTGTATCTGGAAAATATATAGGAGGTCAAATCAGAGAGCTGATGTGCCAGTGAACGTCAGTGGTCTAAGGATTGGCCATTTTGATAACATTTTGTATAGCATATAGTCCATAAGGGAAGGGTAAATGCAAAAGGCTAAAGTACATGTGTTTCAAAATACATAGTAGTTAATATATCATTAACTTTCAAATAATTAAACCTTTTTTTTCCCTTGCTGATCCTTTTGAATTGAATCTTTTCACCATTTTGGCTCTTCTAAGTCAAATGTGTTGCCCACTCATGGAGACCTTTTTTATATATAATTTTTAATTTTTTTTTCTTTTAATCTTTTATATATATATATATATATATTTGGGAGGCTTTTGTTTTTTGGTATATCCGAACAAGTCTCATTAGGTGATAGCTTTAGACTTGACTCCTCTTTTTCATTTAATAAAGAGAAATTAAACTTCCCAACTTGAGGGTACAAAAGAGAGATTTTAGAGAGAAAATAGTGAGAGGTGCCATGGAGGTTACAACAACTAAGCTGGTGGATGTTGCTGCTTCTTCTGAGTGCTGTGAGGAGGAAGAAGAAGAAGAAGTAATGCTTCCCGGGTTCCGATTTCACCCGACCGATGAAGAGCTCGTCGGGTTTTATCTCCGCCAAAAGGTCGAGAAGAAACCGATCTCAATCGAAATCATCAAACAGATCGATATCTACAAATATGATCCATGGGATCTCCCAAGTAAGAAACTTTTCTCATAACTCTCTTGATCTCTCTCATATAGATCTGAAAAGGGTTTGAAAAGAAAAAATAAAGTGATCCATAATTGATATATTGAGAAAGGAAAAGGAAAATCAAATACAAAAAGTTGCACTTCTTTTTCTTTTATCTAGATGGGTATTTTTCTCAGCTGCCAAACAGTTTTTATTGGTTGCACCAGAAAAAAACTGAAGTTGAAATTAGGGTTTTGATGTCATTGAATAAAAGCCTCGATCTTTATCATTGAATTCAAGAATCAATTTAATTAAATTGATAGTTTTTTTAGTACAACACGTAGAATTAGGGACTGAAAAATTAACCCAAGATGCAATAACTACTATATTATCGGAGAAAAAAACAACTCTATTAAAGATTTCTGAGTATAATGACTACTTTGATCTTGAATACTATATAGGTTAAATTACCCATTAAATTCATTATAAGTTTAGGTTAATTTTTTTTTTTTGGAATCAAAGTTTAAGTTAATTATGCTATATTATTTAATGTTTTCAAATATTTTGACACTCACTCTTACTCGGAGTTGAAAAGAAAAATATTTTGGCGTGCTTATTACCCGTGAGCACTATTTTTGCTTACCATTATTAAAATTTTGAAAAGTAGGAGAGAAAAAGGCATAAAAAGACTTTTATTTTCAAAGAACTAAAAAGTTGTCAAAATTTTTTTATTGAAAGTAAGCATGAAGATAGGTGCTGACGGCAAGCATTTAAGTATTCTTCGATGAAACCCTACAAATGAATTATACTTGTTATGAAGAAAAAAGTAATCAACGATTCAAATAATCTCTTATTCTATCAGAAAAAACTTGCCACGAAAAGAGATTGAATACTTGTTCTGGTAATACTATGTTAAATAATCACTAAGCTCGATCACACATCGTTTAAGCTAATAAAGTAGGGTATATTAATCTCTTTAATCAACGTATTCTTAACGAGAAACGCGCGTGGTTTGTCGTTTTTGGTATAGGAGTGAGCAATGTGGGAGAGAAAGAGTGGTACTTCTTCAGCATAAGAGGGAGGAAATATAGAAACAGCACGAGGCCAAATAGAGTGACAGGGTCAGGGTTTTGGAAAGCAACAGGAATTGACAAACCAATCTTCTCCACACATATCATGAAATCATCACCAAATTACCAAGAGCGCCCTTCTTGTATTATTGGCCTCAAGAAATCTTTGGTTTACTATAGAGGAAGTGCTGGCAAAGCCACCAAAACTGATTGGATGATGCATGAGTTTAGGCTTCCCTTCAACACAAATAATAACTCTTCTCAACCTTCTCTTCATCATCATCATTCTTACATTCTTCCTCAAGATGCTGTAAGACCTTTTTACCCTTCTCTCTCATTCGTGTTTCGATCGTATGCAAATCTCTTACCGATATATGTTAGGCTGTTGTTATCGTGGAAGTTTTTGGTTAAATTATTGGCTTCGGTCTTTTAACTTTTAGAGTTGTGTGTCTGGTTGGTCCCTGAACTTCAAAAATTATCTAAAATATCCTTAAACATTCAATGTTTTTAAAAGTGTTTAAAAGGTCTATGAACTACTTTCAATCTTAGTAGGATTTCTAAAGCCTTGTTTGGTAATTGTTTCGTTTGTTATTTTATGTTTTTAAGAATGAAATGTTTAGAAACACTACTTACACCTATGTGTTCATTATTTTGTTTTTTAAATTTGGGTGAGAATTCAAATATATGCTTTCAAAAGAGGTGAAAAATATGCTAAATTAAGTGACAAATTGTACAAATACAACCATAATTTTTAAAAACACAAAATTAGAAGCGGAATTGTTATCAAAAATACCTAATTAAACTTTAAGTTTTGTATCTTCTGGATCGTTTGATTTATGAGACACTTTTTGGAAGTTCAAAACCTATTCGATAGTAAATTGAAAGTTCTAAGACTTTATTAAACGTTTTCTAAAATTTTTTTGAGATGTATTAGACCCGACATTAAAAGATTAGAAAAATACTTTTTAAATTGCAGGGACTTGCTAGACACAATTGTCAAAATTTAAGGATCAAACTTGTAATTTAACCAAAAATTCCGTACTCTTTTTACATATTGATCACTAAACACTCTTTTTAATTGATTTTTACGATTGCATGTGTTAGCTTGAAAACTAAATTTTCTTTAGGCTTGTCCATGTGCATTGTTTATTATTATTATTATTTATTATTATTATTATTATCACTATCACTATTATTATTATTATATTTTCAATCTTATATGATTTTCAAACACACACACAACTTGATAGAATAAAAATGATGCAGGCTTGAATGTAGACTATTGAAATAATTTAATATTTTAAAAATATGGACCATTATGATGAATGAAAATGATGTATGATTTGAAAAATGGATGCAATCGTTTTCTTATTCTTGGTAAAAGTACCTCAATTCTCAAAGTATAAATTAATTAATTAGTTTAATGTGATTATAAATATTGTTTGAAATTGATCAGTATAGTTTACACCTATTTAGTTCTAATATTTACAAAATAAAGTCTCTTTTATCCTTGTAGCATCAAACTATATAATAAGAATTATATCAAATTTTGATATTAATTTAGGACGCTACATCATTAAGATTTTGTGTAGATTAAAAAAATGAAGGGAAGGGCAGATTTTCTTGTAGTTGGAGTTCAAATTTGTCTTTGTTAAGGAATTTCCAAAGTACCACCATAGTTTAAATTAGGTTTTTATATTGAAAAACTTATACATCTTTAAAAGGACTAAAAAGATTTTTTTTATAATATTTCTCTTTAATTAATTAATTAATTAAATGTTTGCATGGGAGAAGAATTAAGTTTTTAGGATTCCTACTTTTCAAAACATGGTTTGATTTGGACTCATTTTCATCCTTTAAACTCTTATATTAATCATTATTGAAATTTTTACTTTCTTATTTTATCCTTGAAAAAAATAAGGTTAAAATACTAGTTTTATCCATGTATTTCAGCTTTGGTTCATTTTGGTCCCCGTACTTTGAAAGTGTTAATTTTGGTCTCTGTACTTTAAACTTTGGTTCAGTTTAATCCCTGTATTTTGAAAATGTTCATTTTAGTCTCTATACTTTTAAAAAGTGATCATTTTAGTCCCTCTTTATAAAAATTTAACACATATTTTACACATAACAACAACTCTTTAGTATAAAGTAGTGTTTACATTTGAATAAATATATTGATTTTAGTGTCGTGTTGAAATTGTGATATAAAAAAATGAGATTAAGAATAAAATCAAAGGACTAAAATGGTCACTTTTTAAAAGTATATAAAGAGACCAAAATGTACATTTTGAAAGTACGGGGACTAAAATGAACTAAAGTTTAAAGTACAGGGATCAAAACGAACATTTTCACAATACGGGGACCAAAATGAAGCAAGGCTAAACTATTATTTTAACCAAAAAATAATCATGCCAAGAAAGTTTCAATAGTGTGACCTTTTATCTTTAATACTTTGATTCAAAAACATTGAACACAAGGCTTTGACAAAAAGGAAAATTTATGCATCTTAGTTCACATTATACTTCTTTTAAGGATAGAAAATATATTTTTTGAAATCTTTTGAATATAATCATTTATATATTTATGCTGGATCTTATAAAACAAATTAGAGTCCCCCGTAAATAACGTTTTTGTTTATTGTTTTATGTTTTCTCTTTCTTAATAAATAATAACGAAGCTATCTTTTCGTAACTATTTTTTGTTTTTCTTTTTAAAAACATATTTGCTAACGATAAAATAATTTTTTTTAGTTATGTTTTGGAAAAAAAAATTGGAAACATTAACAAACAAAAAAAGCAAAAACCTTGATTTTTATGTTTCTAAAATTTCTACCTAATATTTAAAATGTTACTTAAAAATGAGAAACGAGAAATAAGAACAGTTAATCACATGCTAATATTTCTAAAAAAAAATTAGAAATGAAAATGTTAGTATCTAATCTCTCCCCTAAAAAAATTTATACTTTTGGCTCTCATGGTATAAATTATTACTCTCCTTTCTTCTCAACAATTTAGACTTAGTCTCGTAACAGTCTAATAAAATAACATCTTTCTCGTTAATTTGAACACAACTCAATTATCAGTTCAAGTTTCTACTCAGTGTTTTTTTCTGGTAATAATCTTATACATCCTCATGATCTAATTATGTTAAAATGTGCAGGAAGTTTGGACCCTATGTAGGATTTTCAGAAGAGTCCCATCTTTCAGAAAGTACACTCCATCAACAAATAACCCTAAGAACCAAAACAATATTATTATTAATAATCCAATACCAATTTCTGATCTCACACTCCAAAACCCTAATTACCATTCCAATACTATTTTCACCTCTAAATCAAACACCACCTCCCCCTTTTCAACTCCCCTGCATCATGAAACCAAGCCAAACCCTAATTCTCAACAGCTCAACATCTTCAACCCTAACTTACCCCTATCCCATGCTATTTTCTTGGAACCCTCTTCTTCGTACCCGTCGAGCTTTCGGAACGACGTCGATGGAAAAGAAGGAAGAGACGATATCTTCACGAACAGAGGTTGGGATGAGCTCCGGCCTGTCGTGCAGTTCGCCGTTGATCCTTCTTCCCAACTATATGATTGTATATAAATATTATACGTCTGGAAGTTTAATTTGAACTCTAGATCAGGAGAACTATCAAAGGCCTCTTTGATAATGTTTTTGTTTTGACTTTCGGTTTTTAAAAATCGTACACCATGGTTTGTTTACGAGTATTTTTCTTTCTTTTCTATTCTAATTTTTGAAGAGTTTTTTTTATACCTTTATCAAACTTTGAAAACTAAATTTGAAAAAAAAATGTTTTTCTGATGAAATTTTTTACTAAGATCAGTTTTTAAAATTAGAAAACTAAAAATGAAATCGTTATCAAAGCATGAATGGCTCTGAATTTTGTTAAGATTGACGTGTCACTAGTGGACACATTTTAGTTTATTTCCTTCTTATCTTACAATCATGCATTAATATCTTTGATTTAGGGTACTATGAATGTACTGTCAATTGACCCTATGTTGATTTTGAATCCTTTAATATATAGAAATATCGACATGTGGACAAAAATCAATACCCTGTGTAAATGTCAAACCATTAATATATAAAAATACTGATATGTCGACGAAAATTTATACCGTGTGTAAATTGTAGTTTGTTAAATGTTAAATAGCACTCTGGTCATCAAAGAGACTATATTTTATATGGATTTCAACGTTAACATTATCTCAAGTATTTATTAAATTACGTTGTGAACCTAAACATACTTCAACTGGTTAAAGCACTTAAACTGGTTAAAGCACTTAATCTCCGAATGAAAGGTCGAATTTCCATCCCCATATAATATTTTATTAAACAAAAGAAATATTTATTAAATCACGTCAAATTTTATTTAATATATATGTCATGTCATATTTTGTTAATTATTAATATTATTAATGATATAAAAGTTGGAGTTTATGTTCTAAAATTTCGTAATTTGTAAATTTTATTATAATTAGAGTTTATAATAAACAAACACTAGTATAATTAAAGTTAAAAAAGGACATAACTAAAAATGTTTAAAATTGAAGGACTAAGAAAGGAGGTAATTAATTCAAAATTAAGTTTACAATTTAACCCAATTTCATATTTTTCTAAAAAAACGTTGGGAATGATTTCTCCCGACGAGGATATGCCGACGATTTCCGACATTCTTTGGACTATTCCGACGTTTTTTGAAGTCGATAAAAGTCTTTTTTTTTTGTCGTAATGTTAGATGAGGCAACAATATTGGACATGAGAATCATTAATTTTAACACAATCGTACATTTTCCACCACCATTTAAAGCATTATAACGAGTAAAGGTATCAAAGCGAGCATACCTCAACAGTAATTGGTATATATCTCCAACCAAAAGGTTGTGAGTTTAATCTTCTCCCCAACCTGTTGTACTAAAAAAACAAGCAAAGGTATTTTTTTTTTTAAATGAAAAAAAAAGTTGACAATATGTTTCTGAGACCAAATCAAAAGCTCGTTCAAATTACGACTTTGAATCCCTTTAGTGGCATTACGATTGAAAATTAGTTACTTAAGTGTTATCTAAATACAAATACAATTACATTCTTGATAAATTAATTAAAGAAAATTAAATTATTTTTAATTAAAAAATTTACTAAATAATTAACTTTTCCTGTTAATTATTATTTGATGGGTTTAAAATGTCAATATCCAATAGCAACACAAGTTTATAAAATTTATTTTTTCCTATTACGTATACTAAAAATTTGTTTACGTGTGCTAAATGAGCACACTTTAAGGTTAAAATGTATATTCTCTCTCCAGAGATCAAATATTTACATCTCTGTCCTTACATTTTGTTGTAATTGAAAAAACAAAACCTCTGTAAGTAATATAATATTGCTTTTATAACCTTCCTCTTTCTTTTCTTTTTTTAATTTGATAAAAGCCAAACTTTCTTTTGAGAAATTTCCTCATATGGTGATAATGGTTGACTCCAAGTCAAGTCAACAACATGGACTTTGTAATTTTGATAAATAATTTAGTCTTTTGTGGAAAATAATATTGAGATCTTGTAATCAATTCCAAGTGAAGATAAAGAGTTAATGGGAAGATTCAACCTTTCACTATATCAACCTCATATTAATTTTTGTTTCTATTCTAATATTATTTATTAATACGAATCATTATTATAAATAATAAAGTTGATTCAATTTTTTGTGATGCACTTTTTAATTTATTCTTATGGTACTTCTTACTTTTTAGGGATTAATAGTTCTGAAACTCCTCTTAAATTATAAATATGGAATAAGCAACAATATGGTAGGAAAATAAAATATATCCACAAATTAGAAGAAGATTAAAACCATCTTAAAATACAAGAATATCATTCACAAAATAACTAAATTATATTGTTCTGTTTTATTATTATATATTTTTTTAATAAATCTTAAACATTTTTATAAATATATACTACGAAAATAATTCAACAGTTTCTATAGATTTTCTCGGCATATTCTTTGTTGGGATTTCTGAGTACATTTATTTGGTTGGCAAAAGAGAAATGTAATTCCTGAAATTGTGGTGTCTAAAAATAAAATAATCGTGTGGTACAAATAAAGGAGATTTAATACATTTGTGACAATTTATGTATACCTTTTTTCTTTAGTTTAATCAAAGGAATTTCAAACTCATTAGAAAAATAAATAATGTTTTGAACTCGCTTTAGGATATATTATTTTATTATTTTATTACTTTTTTTTTCTTTTTGGGGAATGGAATGAATTTATTAATAAAATTAAGATAAACACGTGGACCTACATGTTTCCAAAAGTCTAAAGTGGCAAGATACAACCAAATAAAAAATTGACAACCATTCAAAAAAAACTTTTGGAAAAAAAAAACCTTTTAAATAAAACTATTTTTTTCTACAAGGCACTTCAGAAAAAATGACTAATTTACAACGTGTTCGGTATAGTTTTTGAAGTGGACTATGTTTAGTGATAAATATAAAATATTTTTAAAAAATTATATTGCTTTAAACAAAAAATTAATTATATCAAAACGTTTAATCCATTCTAAAATTAAAAAAAAAAAATATATATATATATATATATATATAAGATGATCATCTAAAAAGGTCATAGTTTAAATTCTTTAGAGATGATTACTAAAAAAACAATGGTTTAAATTAAAAGCTGTATTAAACCCACTTTAAATAAAAAATTAATTTAATTTGTTAATATTATCTTGTTTGAAAAAGTTATAAATTAAAAAATATTTACTTCGAATTTAAAAATAAATAATTAAAAAAATATAGCTTGTAGATTTTTCTTTTCTTTGTTTTTTCCGTCCAATCCAAACGCCTGGTTTACGGAACATAGACTTCTCCGTCACGGCACTCCACCACGCGCCACGCGCTAGACAAGTTT